TGTAGGTTGGCCCATGCCTCTCCTTCCTGGTACCATGCCTACCATCAATAGTCTGTATAATTTATATTGCATTATACCGGTTTTGTACAGTGACATTGTACTGTTCCTTAATTTCTCTATCCGTTCTAAGAATTCCTAAATTTAACTTAATGTTCTGTGGTGTTTTCTTAATATTGTTTAGTTTTATTCTAATTTTTCCTACAACTGGAACATGGTCACTTAAGTAGTCTGCTCCAACTAAGCTGCTTCGGAATCTTTTTGAAATCACAATATAATCAGTCTGACTGCGGACATTATCGTCCTGACTTTTCCAAGTCTACAATCTTCGAGGATGGTGTTTAAACCAGGTGTTACCTATCATCATGCCACTCAGCCCTTGCTATTAATCAGTCACCTCTCACATTCTTTTCTCCTAGGCCATAGCCACTGGTTATTCCGTACACTTTTTCACTTCCTATTTTCGCGTTGAAATCTCCAAGTATCATTGTTACATCACAAATTTTGCATTAATCAACAGCCATGTCTAACTCGTCATAAAATTCGTCAATATCTTACTCTGAACTATCTGCTGTTGGGGCATAAATCTGTACTAAGTTGATGTCAAACGGTCTGCCGTGAAGCTTTACTATTAGTACTCTGTCTGACATTGTCCAAAATCCGTTCACAGTTTTTGAATTCTTTGGATCCAAAATAACACAAACTCCCTTACTATAATTATGTGCTGATCTTAATACTTTTTCCCTGCTCCTGGCTATCGCATTTCACTAATTCCTAATATGTTGATGTTCATTCTCTTTTATTTCCGTCTTGATGTTATCCAACTTTCCGTTTTGTACGAGTGTTCTGACATTCAGAATCATTCTACTATTTACTTTTTCTACAGTAGCTGGATGACGGTCGGGTATCACCCGTAGAACATGATGCTCCCTACCGGTCGAGGTGATTCCGCTGGAATCCCCGTTCACGTCCTTATCTGAATTCGTAATATTTTGAGGCATGATTTACTGGGGATAATACAGCGGTGGTTTCCCCTTGGCTTCCGCCGGTTTGTATATGGTTTGACTCCAATAGTCTTTGTCTAAAGAGACTTACCCTGCAAGGCAGCAGGGGGAGAGGTTATGGCGCCTCTTACCCGCCGATGGCCATATCGTAGAGTTTTGAGTTATTTTATAGAGTTAGCTGTCCCACCAACTAACTCGCCTTATCTCAATGACCATCACCTGTTTTGCTCCACGGCGACTTATTCAATCTATTCGTGGCTAACCTCTATATCTAGAGGCCTTTTCACCATCCGCCACCTGGTGGACACGCCTAGTAGTAGGACAGGCTACTACCCCAGGGACATTTGTTAGGCATATAGAAAGCTTTCCATTGCTTCACACAGCCACTAGTTAAGTTGAGTCAAGAATTGACATCACAGCACTCGAGGCATCCCCATTCATGCTCCTTCCTTATCTTCAGCAGCGAGCGATGTGTAGTATCATATGCTAGGCTGTCTTGCACTAAAGATTTTCCATTGGCTTTCGCTACGAACCCCCAGGCACTTCTCTTTCCTCTCAGCACCGAACCATCTGTATAAATAATCAGATCACCTGGTCGTGAATTGTCACCTAGGTGATCTGATTGTCTGTACAGCCACTATTAGCCTAATAATAGCCATCCCCCTTGTGGGACGCAATTTTTTGTTATTTCAAAGCCCCACCCTGGCTCTTGCCAGGGGCCGCAATATAACCCGGCTTTAAATATGGCCAAATGGCTTAACTCAGTTTCCGGAAAACTCTCCACGGGGTATCCTCATTCGCATGGTGGCACTTTGTGTCATCGGGTGTTTATCGCTTGTGTGATGTCCTGGTGGGGTAAAAGTATTACTACACACAGCCACGCACTTCAATGTAGAGGGGGCTATGTGTATATGGGTGAATAGATGGTTAGGTATAAGTTTTGGTAAGTGTTCACATAGGTGTGTAAGTGTATAAGGCTATATGTAGGTACGGGCATACATGTGTGTGCACGCACGTGTGTGCATATGGACATGTGCGTACGTGTAAATACATGTATGTGTATCCATGAGTATGTGGACGGGGGTATAAATGTATATATCTGGTATACCGACATATATGTATGTTAGTAAATATGTATATGTGTGTATATATCTGGCTGTTCTACTGTAGAAAGTGTTCTAATAACACCTTGCCTTTATTTTGGTCGGACCTCAGCCAGGTGAGGTCGGCGCTCAGGAAATCAGGAATGCTCTTGTTTGTGTGTGCACCGTTCAAACTTTTGTGTAGTCGTCAGAATAGTTTCAGTGATTTATCTCTTTTTATTCTCTTACCAACTTTTTTCTTCCCTATAATTTTCTACTCCTTTTAAAAACTTCTTATTCTGTGACACAACTCTGTCCACTTCTCCCTTTTAACCTCAGTAACCAATTTTTTTAAGGAGCCAACTTTTATGTTCATGTCTCTTTGCAGGGGCAAGATATGACCAGAGCAGAGTGGCAAGCTTCACTGGAAAGGTCACAGGTAGTGAGCATACTTTGGATCTTTTCTCCAATGTTGCGTTTGGCATTTTGTCATTTTCTCACAGCACCACGCTTATCTGCCCAGGCTTTTTTTTTCTCACCTCCCAATTCCACCAAGGGAGTTGCTCCCAGCACTTCTTCTTGCTATGTTCCACGCCTTATTTAACCCATCAAATCCCCTCCTGTACTTTTATACATAAATGGCCTGACCTTTGACTTGTTTTTCTTGAATCTGCCTTTCTCCACTACTATGTTACAGGGGAGATGGTCGCTGCCACGGTACTCTGGTACACCCTATTTACACACTGAAGTGAGTGAAGGAGAAACCAGAGCCAGGTCCATAACACTGTCTTTATCGCCTGGTCTACTTGCTACCCTCCTGACACTGCCACTGTTAATACAAACTAGGTCAACAGTGCGTTTAACAAAATGTTCCCCCATGATCTGCCTTCAGCATTGAAATCTCCAAAGATAATAACATTTCTCTTTTGAGATATTATTTCACTTAAACACTGCCACCTCTGGAAGTCCACCCTTGCATTGTAGGCATAAATATTCACCAAAACAAAAGAATGCTGGGACTGAACTCTGACCGCCTGTAATTGTATCTCGTCGCTGTTACACTTAGACATGTCCACCTCTGAAGCCATTACACCATCTCAAACAAGGATGCCTAATCCCAGGTTTCGCTTGTTGTAAAAAGAGTTGAAACTGGCCATGTGTAGCATGTTATCACCGAGTCCTGTTTCCTGTAGGGCAATAATATCTTTGCTGTAAACAACACGGTCTAGAAATGGGTCCACATTGCTTTGTGCTAGCGCAGCTCCAATGCAGTATACAAATTAGGTTGAGATCTAGACGGACGTATTTGAGCCGTGTTCTCCTAGCTCTAGAACGTGGGGTCCCAGAACCCACACTGGGAGATTTGTATCAGTTCAATACATGAGCATGCTTCCCAGTAGCATTAGTAATTGTTTGCATTTCTATAACAGCACCTGGAAGATAAAAAGTTATATAAAAAAATAGAATAGATCTGTAAGGAAATAAAAAAACATAGAATCCTGGTGTTTCCAAAAAATAATACCCTCAGTACAAAAACAAAGAAACAGATAAATCAGACATGTCAACTGAAAGGATATAAAATGTATTCTTTACACTGTTGTCCAGTTTCTGCACAGTAACAAAAGTACACATGCACGGAGACAAAATATTTTAGAAGAAGTCAGGCACACCGACACAAAGAAAACATGAGGGGGGGGGGAATTTTCTGTGGAGGTCCTCCTATGCCTTATTTAAGTGCTAAATAATAATAATTATAATAATAATAAAGGCAAATAAATATAATACATTTGAAATAATAAAGGTATAAATAAAATACAAAAATTACAAAGAGAATGTCTAAACATGGTGGATTTGGGGGGGGGGGGGGGTGGTGTTCATCTTAATGGCTTGATTCTTCAAGAGTGTAAAGACAGGATGAAAACTGCCAATCATTCTTGTAGAATATGAAGGCAGGTTTGCTGTCCTAAAAAACTCTTACCAGTCAATGATGATCCACATCTTTGTGGTCTGCAGTGATATTGCTACTGTCTGTATTCATGTCCATGATTGAAGGGCATCTGGGGTTGTATGTAACAAACTAAAACATGTTTCATGACATCCACAAAGAAATAGTGACCCAGAGAGTTCAAAATGGAAATAACAGAATTGGCAAAAATAGCAACACGTAGACGACAGCACAAAAAGATGCCTAGCTAGCTATATGGATGGATGGTTGGAGACATGGATCAATAAATAAACAGAGGGGGGAACCATTTGAGGCCGTTAAATATTATGAATTAATCAAGTAACAGAAAGTATTGTGAGCGGCACTCATAGAAAGAAGTAGAAAGATAGAAGAACACACTAGACAACATAAAAATCGAAAGCTACAGTTACTGGGAATTGAACGTGTTACCTCCAGACGGCGTCTGCGCCTCGCCATGAAGACATAGATAAGACATAGATCAAGCATGTATGGATGGATGGAGACACATATGGATGGGTGGGTAGGGTGGATGGATAAATGAAGCGGCTTAATTCCTGTTTGTGTTCACTGGGTAATTTACAATATATATATATATACATATACATTAAATATTGGGGTAAGGGGTTTGAGACAGAGCTAGCAAAGTGTGTCTAGCATGCTGACGACATAATGCAACACTATCATGTGAATTAAATTGAACTCAAGATGAAATTGATAAGTCTAGTTGTGATCTTTCGGGGAACAAGGAGAAACTGCATCCACACTTGTAACAATCATGTAACATATATTCAGCAGTAAAATGAATATTTTAGGGAACAAAGAGAAATTGCATTTATACTTGTATCAATAATGTAACATATATTCAGCAGTAAAATGAATAATTTAGGGAGCAAAGAGAAATTGCATTTATACTTGTATCAATAATGTAACATATATTCCAGCAGCAAATGATCATGTGGAGAACAGAGCCAGCTGTAGCAGTGGTAGAACCTGGAGTGTGTACAGGTCAGCCAAAACAGCCTGCAACAACAGCATGACAAATTAACAGACAGTTTATCACTTCATGAGCTGCTTCTCATAGACTAAGCTATAATATCAACAGTTTATCAAAATAAGTAGACCTTCTATATCTCTCATAAGTTTTAAAATAATAATAATAATAACAGGCTCTTTTGACACCTTTGGTGCATGGACATATAGTACTAGAACCATATCTGTATACGGCAAGACTCATATTTGCCCACAGGCAAGACATCAACCGGGCTGCTGTGGGATACGTCAGTTGAGGGATTTTGTGCATTCATGTGGTTTTGTTTCATTTATGTATGTGCTGATGAAGGTCTTGTAGCTGCAATATGTAATTAAATATTTCATTATTAAACAACCACTTGCTGTTTCCATAATTTCAGACCTATTTACCTACTGATATACCTAACCATAACCCTCCCCACTTTCTTTACTGTAATCTCACCTCGGCAGCGTTCAATGTCTGTACTTTCATTAGGTTCATTTTTCTAAATGAAAATATAGCAACAGCAAGAACTGTGGAAGCAGATCAGATATGACAAAATATTAGCAATACATACTAGAAATGTGAATAGTGCAGACAATACATTGCACAATTTATTGCCTGACAAAGTTCACTGTATCTTGTCAGCTGTAATGCTACAGAGTTACATCTACGTATAATAAAGCGCAACAATGTAGCCTTTTCACTGAAATACACAAATCACTATGTCTCCAGTAATACTGTATAGGTGAGAAACAGTGAAATACACTAGGCAATAAATTGTGTGATGTATTGTTTGTGTCCACATTATTTAAATTTGCTATATTAAAATATTCTTCTCAATATACCAGAACCAAAAAGATATGCTATATTTAGTCAGACATTATGCTCTATTCACTGTATGACTGTTAGAATGACTTCAAAAACTAGAAGGTCACTCCGGCACTAACTCCACTAAAGGTGTGATGTGTCATCCCAAAACATGGCCAGACATTATCTTTTCTATGAAATGAAATCTAGACTGTTTTTAAATCGATTTTTTTGTTCGTTCATTTTTCCTAAATTTGACTAGGAACTGCAGCCATCACAGCATGGACTACAATTTCTAAATTCCAAGAGATTCTTTACATACAGAATATGCCAAATTTACATATTGGTCAATCTTATCTTAGCCTAGTGGGAACAATTTATGGTGATAACGGTATGCTATTAACCACAGACAGGGAGAAGAGGGAGGCTTTCCTGGAGGTTCATTTCACAGACAGACCACAATAATGGAGATAACAGAGATATAATTGAAGAAGATCTGGCAGCCACTTTAAAGGACAAACATTATGAAGACATTATACAATTGCAAGATGTAAAACATTTCTGAAAAGGGCGAAAAACACTGTACCCGGGCCTGACGGGTTTAGATATTCCTACATGAAAGAAATGAGCAATGCAGACCTGGTGGAGATGACTGCTTCTTTCAACCAGAGCATTAGGACAGCTTCAGTCCCATAAGAGTGGATGCACAGCTACCTGATTCCACTTCCTAAGCCTGGCAAGGATCATTCAATACTCAGCAGTTTTAGAATCATAACTCTATAAAACACATTTGGTAAAGTGCTGGAGAAGATAATGGCGGGTAAGCTACAAGAATTTTTGGAACATAGAAATCTCCTTCCATGAGGTTTGGGAAGTTATCGGCCAGGGAAGGACACATGGTCAAATGCATCCACTTTTGCCTTTGATGTCTATTTAGGTTTCCAGAACAGAGAGGAAAAGGCGGCAGCGGCATTTGGTTTAGAAGATGCTTAAAACAGAGTCAGATACAGCATCTTGATGAAAGCGCTAATAGAGAAAGGAGTCTGTCCTTGGTTGGTGAACTGGATAGCAGCAGTTTTGTATACTCGCCGGATAGCTCTTCGCCTGGGTTCATGGACCTTAGAACCGTGTATTATAGCTCCAGGACTACCACAGAGATCTGCAATCTCACCTGTACTGTTCAATGTTTTTATGAGCAAGACTGCGGACCTGGAAACACCTGGAGTTGGTAGAATGTTCACATTTGCAGATGATGTTCTCATATATAGGAAGGGGAGAGATCGGAATCAAATAGCTCAAGAGTTACAGGCGACATTAGATAAGGTGATCGACTGGTGTACAAAGATGAGTGCTGTAATTAACCCAGAAAAGGCAGCCATCCTGTGGTGTTCTTTGGACAACAGGATTGTTGGAGCTGATATTCCAAGCCTCAATATAAAAGGCAGGGACATCAAAAGAGACAGTAGACTGTCGCACCTGGGAATCATCTTTGACAGAAGTTTGTCTCACAAGGATCACATAGAGGGGGTTGTGCCAAAGGCTCAGAAAGGTCTTAACTCTTTGAGTCCCAGGGGGTTTAGCATCACAGGGCCCAGATAGGCTAATGGTGCTGCAGGCTAAGTCATTCCTCAGAGTAGCTGCAGACAAAGAACACCCTCTGTATGAAGCTTTGGCTGCAACTAAGGGTCAGAGGCTGAACAGGGGAAAATCGTGGCTGGCTCAAGCAGAAGACACAATAAGACAAGTATGCAAGGAGAGACTTGGGTCAGAGTACCAGCGGGAAAGTCTGACCTTTGTAGGGTTATTTTAACATTGGGCCGGGTGTGCAGAGAGTGGCCAGCGGGTGCTACGGAGGTGGAAGTCCAACAGTTGATTCACGACAATTATCGCCCAGATAATCTGGTTATCTACACAGAGATTTGGTGTTGAGAGGGGAAGAGAAGTGCCTGGGGATTTTTTGCAAAAGCCAATGGAAATCTTTAGTGCAGGACAGCCTAGCATACAATACCACAACATCTAGCATGAGAATAGAGGTGGAGGCGGTAACTGCAGCTCTCCGATGGCTAGAAAACAAGATGCATACACATGTCATAATTGTAACAGACTGCGAAAGCATGCTGCGAAAGGTGAAGACAGGGATGCTTTGAACAGAGTGGCAAGCTTCACTGGGAAGGTCACAGATGGGTAGTGAGCATAATTATGATAATTTCTCTGGGCCATGCCGGTGTGGTGGGGAATGAAAAGAGGAACAGATTGGCTGGATCTGCCCCACTGGGTAGTGAATTTATACATGACAGGGCAGATGTGGCGAGGGCCCTTTGGGAACAAGTCAGAAGTGAAACAGGATTATTATGGCCTGGAGAGAATGAAGCACCTGGGTGTAGCCAGAGGGTCTGGCTTGCTCACTACACTCAGAGGAAAGACAAGACAGACACATAACCAGATTACGACCGGTACCATTAGTATTGAAACTTTTCAGTGGCTGCTGAAGATGAAGACGGAGCACACATGGGAATGCCCTGAGTGCTGTGATGTCAATTCTTGACGCAACTCAACTTAACTCTTATCTGAGAAGGTCATGCATCTGATTCCCTACCCAGAGTTCAAGCAGCTATCATCAGATGTCTCTAACTGTGATTAAACTAGCCTCAAAAGCTGTTATCACTCTGATTACCATTATCATCAAGAGCATTTTTCTTCTGCTATCTATCCCTCAATGAAGCATAGGCCCTTAACTAACTCACGCCAAGTCATTCTATCTGTTGCTATTGCATGCAGCTCACCCCATGTCCTCCCCATTTTACCTTCCTCTCTAGCTGCCTTCTCCATGTTTTGTGTGTGTGTGTCCACCTTTATTTCTTTGCCCCTGTAGGTTCCAGTGCAAAGATATTCTAGTTATACTGTACCCAGGTTTTCTCAAAATGTGTCCTATCCAACGCCAGCATCTTTTCCTCTTCTTTTGGTCCACTGAAACTTTTTTAGTTTTCTCCCAAAGCTTCAACCTTAATCGTCCAATGCCTTGCTGGTGGAATATTACAACTCTGCTGGTAAATCCCCCAGTACATCCTGGAGCCCAGTGGAGGGAGGAGGGGAGTGTAGACACACTGCCCCAACACAAGCATGTCAAAGTTGACTAATTATGGATTTTCTGAAATCAGATGTATTTGGGTCAGCTTGGCACTACAGCCTAGCGGTTAACCACAAAAAAATGTGCCAACTAGCCCTACTGGCAAATGATGAATAAGAAACAAAAAGAAAGTACTCATGAAGAATAAGTATTACTTCTGGAACTTCTTACCTGACAAAATTTCTAAAGAATCATAAGCCAATATCCTATCCCACAATAGCAGAACTTGATCACTGGCCAGAAAACCAGAAAAGGCTCGCATCAACCACTTGAAAGCTATTTTAAGTCTAATGATGAAAACAAAATAGATGTTAGTTACAGCTGTTTAAAAAATGTTGAATTTATCTGGTTTTAAATTTGTGCCATCTTCACAATGAAAGTTGGTCACAGTGCATCTGTTGCTGTCTTTGGGAATCATACATGGAGAGGTCCCATGGTAGTACTTTCGTACCACACTCTGACAGCTACACAAGAGGTCTTTTTCTAAACCACCCACTGCAACCTCTGGTACCTCAAGGACTGAACTGTAAGACAATTTCACTAATCTGTGTGCTTCAAAGCCATATGTGCAATGTACAGAATATCATTACAAGAAAGCCACATGTCCAATTAATAGCATATTATTACCACAAAAACACATGTGCAATGTATATCATACTACACAACCCCATGTGCTATTTATAGCATATTATTACCACAAAACCATGTGTAAATTTTATAGCATATTATTACCACAAAACCTCATTAGCAATTTATAGCATATTATTACCACAAAGCCAAGTGTGCAATTTATAGCATATTATTATCATAAATTCATGCTTACAATTTATAGCATACTTGTACCACAAAACCTCATGTGCAGTTTATAGCATATTTTCAGCTCCTTCAGCCCCAGACAGTCATTACTTTCATAATTCTATCCTGAGTTGTTACTAAATGAGTAAATGAATGAATCAAGGACTGTCACCACTGCACACGTACCTCGTCTCCTTCCTGAGTTGCCAACGAAGAGAAGACAGGCTGATAGTACCAGTTTCAATCTGATTAAAAGTCTGCATATGTTTTCCCTGTAGTGCTGAACCTCCTAAGCCCCCCCCCCCCACCACCACACACACACACATACACACACACACACAAGAATGTTGAGTTAGAATTTCAATGTATGGAAACTTTGTCCCATATCCAGATTGCCTTCACCACATCCGGTCTGTCAAAGATATTCAGGTGTGTGGGGTAATCAGCCAGCTAATAAACTGGTGGTTCTTTATTAATATCTTACCCCAGATGACGTCACAGGTCAGTCCAACATTTTAGAGGGTGGTAAGACTGGGTTTCCCGGCTTTCTGATGATTTTAACAAACCCAAAATATCTAGAACTGACCCTAACCCCAAACCATCTATGTCCCACGAATGCATGCAACCTAGGTCCCATGACTGCATGCAGCCTATCTACCACCCCCTGAAATATTAGACTGTCCCGTGGCCTGTGGATTTTCCCTGTTTAAGGTAGGATATTAATAAAGCACCGAACTGGCTACTGACCCTCCTCTGGGTGGTGAGCTACTTTATGATAAAGAAATTGTTGCTTTGGTAGTGAATGTTTAAATCTGAAAGACACCTGATCATTGGGAAGGGGCGACAAATGAGCAGCCAGATATACCAATTACATACAACCAAAAGAAATGCAATTGATCAGGAAACTACCAGCCCCAGGGCAAGATGACTTTTTTTTTTAAATTATGGACAGATTAGATTAGAACAAGTCATTATCCTTCACCTTAGAACAGGGCACAACAGATTACATAACCACATGTACACAAAATTCAAAATAGGCGTACCAGCCATGTGCACCTGTGGAAAGGTGCCTAGACAGCAGAATATGTACTTCAGGACTGCACCGAATTTGATACATTAGGGTAGACCTTTTGGCCAAAAAGAACAGTGGAACAGAAACTCTATGTACCACTGAACAAACTAAAAATAACAGTGAAATTTATACAAGAGATAAAATTGCTGATATAGACAACTTATTTCAGGCAAATGAAAGAAGGAGAAGAAGAAGATAACTACTAGCGTAAATAGAATCCTTTATTTATTTATTTTTTTATTTATTTATTTTTTAAAGTTTTAACTCTATCAGACCGATGCACTTCTTCTGCAGTAATTTCCTAATCTGCCCCTAAACCGCTGTATCTCATTGTCGGTACTCTGAGTACTACCTGAAAACAATGCATCACAAACTTAAAATAACTAACCAATCGTGGTCAGACCTTGTGGATAGTCATTCCAGATGTCTACCTACAAGTGTTTGGATTTACTTTGTGCGGTTTAACGTGAACAAATATTGAAAATTCACAATGAAACGAGCGGCTGATGAACCAAGCATTTTGACAGGAAAGTGAAGTAGGTCTATACTTTTCACAGTCCAACAGATGATCGATACTTTGGTTGATTCAGACTCTGAGGAGTCAGAATTTCATGAAGATTATGTTTTGAGTTAAAGTGACACAGTCAGTGAGAACTCAGCGATGAGAATCTTGAAAATTATAGATTTAAAACTAGATCGATAGTAAGAGAAGGGGGTGTGTCCCTCAAACAGCAACATCTGGTGCTCACTTTGTGAAACAATGCTGATCCTGCTGGGTGGATTGGCAAACAAAGGTGGAATATTGGCGCTAGATGAAAGGGAAACCTATTTTCTACAATGTCTCCAAGTTTCATCTTATTCTAACCACTTGTTTGCAATAACTAATATTTTTTGTATAGCATGTTGATTTTTTTTGTTAATGCCCATGAGCTCAGGTATAGGAGGCAGTTAGGTTCATGGCCTCAGATCTGGGAGGGTTAAGGAAGAAACAAACCAACAAGTGGCAGTTGCTTGGTGTTGAATGAGTTAACATACAAACAGTTGATTCATTCATCATCACCGTACTGTTTTGCTATTATAACCCACATAAAGCTCGCAGTTTATTCTTTCAGGCCAGCATCTTTGACCTCATTCATCAATGAGCAGCCCTTGTTTCCTCAATCCATCTGTTTCCCATTTAAGTGCCTGTTTGGTGATTCTCTGTTACCTTCTCCACTTCTTTGTATCATAACAGCTTTTACCAGCAGTTTCCTAGATATTTCTTTTATTTCTTATATAAACACACTTTTAATATTTCTGAAAAACGAACCACAAGTGCTTGACTATATGTTTATATAAAGCAATGTTCTCCCGTTGAGAATTTGAACAAAGAAGACACATACAATAGTTTGCACAATTTATTGCCTGGCATATTTCGCTGTGTCTTGTTTGGTGCATACTACAGTAACAATGATTAAAATAAAGCAAATAAATGAATCCTTCAAATTGAAATATAAAATCAACTATATTCAAAAACTGTCTGTTTCACTAGGGTAAACACAAGGTGAAGAGCATGTCTTTTTGTCTGAATAATTCTGGACTAAACTGGTTTATTGCGGCTGCTTCCACAAATCTCAATAATCTACAGTTGGCTGAAATTTATTTCAATGTGCATTTAGAATTATTTGTGTAATTAAGTGTAAGTACACTCAAAACCAAGGATGAATTACACATTTTGACTAAGCAACAATACTAAACTGTCACAGACTGTAATCCAACAACAGTCAACAGATACAGATGCACAACCAAAAACTAATGTACTGTCACATGATAATGACACATGTAATAAGCACAAAATCAAGTACAAAAGATATTTATCAGTCAATATTAACTTGTTCAGTAGTACATAAAGTAACAACTCACGGTTGACATCCAACTTGTTTCAGGTGGTAAAACAATTCAGGTTCCTCAGTTTGCAGCAAACTCTCAAACAGCAAACTGAGACAAACTATGCCCTAGAGGAATCAATAATATGTTCTTTTACTGAATGGTATACACAATATAGAAAGTATGCGTGAATTTTATATAACATGTATCAAGCATGGTTGAATTTTACACAACATTTATAAAGTATGGGTGAATTTCACACAACATGTATAAGGTACGGCTTAATTTTACACATGTCTCAAGTATTTTACTCAAAATATATAAAGAATTGATGTATTTTACAAAACATATATTAACATATGAGTATATTTTACACAACACATGCAAAGTGTGGGTGTATTTTGGTGATTCCTTAAAAAGCAACTGAAAAGATTCATCTTGTGTGATCTTCAGAAGGAGACTGGAGAGCTTCTGGTGTTTACAATTACAATTATTCAGTAACAAGGCAATTCCCATGCCTGTCTACCCTTAAATGATATGTGTTTATTCATCTGTGTGCTTTATTTAGGTGTAATATCCATCTGCTGGGGTGGGAGGGGAGGAATAACCCCCTGCTCTTTAAGAAAGCTAGCCAGTGTGATGTTGACCACATTGCCCATACAATGCCAATTGGTCTAGCACTCATCATCATCAAGTGCCTTGGCGACTGGCTTGGGTGATCATACCTTTCCACAATCCATAACTGCTTGTATAAGTTCGTGTGTTGACACTCTTTCATGCCATGACAAAAGGCGGTCAAAAATCTTCTTGCACTGAATTCCTCTGTCTCTCTTTCCACTGATCTTTCCAGAAGTCACAACATGTTCCGGTTTTCCTGTTCTCATAACATGACCAAAGCATGATGACTGTCTCTTTCTGATGTTTGTGATAAGTTGTCTTCGAGCACTCGCCTTTTTCAAAACATCTGGTTTGCTCTGCTTAGCTGTGCAAGGAATTCTAAGGATTCTTCTGTAAAACCACATCTCTGAGACATCAAGATATTGTTCGGCTTGTTTATTAATTATCCAGAATTCACAGCTGTATGTTAAAAACTAGCCAGTTTTTTAACAAGCTCTGTATAGCATGCGAGAATTATTTTTCTAACCTCCAATGACATGGATTTATTTCAAAAAATCTTCTTCATTTTATAAAAGGCAGTTTTGGTCTGTCCTACTCTGTTCTTTATCGCTATGGTACATCTTTAATCGGATGTTATCCATGTGCCTAGATATTTAAATTTCTGTACTTGTTCTAAAATAATATCTTTGGCCTGTATAGAACATTTAGGTTATAATAGGGTCTAGCCCTAAATACCCATACACCCGTGTTCGACCCCCAATAAGGTGATAGAGTTTTTCTGTCAGGGGTATAATTAAACATCCTAACTTGCGCAGTCTGTGGCGACAGCATTAGCCAGGCAGCCCTAAATCCTCAGGTTCAAGGTCCCCTGTCCACACTGCCCTAAAAAGTAGTAAAACAGACAGTAGTGACAGTCTGACTAACAAAGAAGAAGCAGAAAAAGGAGAGTAACCCAACTGTTACTTCCACTTTTTTTGTCTATAGTGGCTTATTTTTAAATCTTTAAAACCACAACCAGTTAGCAGTAAACAGTTATTATTTATAAGCAACAACAGTCTAGGAAAGAAGGAAGACATTAAGGAAACACCTTGTACTGAAAGAAATAATGAAATGCCTGGAAGGAAATAATGCTGGTTCCATGATAAACGTTACTTCACACCAACCTGAGGGTGAGATGAGATGCTGTGCAGATGGTAGAAGAAGTGCATGTACATATGTCTGAACACATAGTACAGCTGGACCACATCGTTGTAGAGATAACATAGTGGAGCAACTGTATGGAAGGTAAAAGAAACATTTAACACATTTAGTTAATTATCTTTATCGGGCAATGACACACATATGCAGATCTTGGCTTTCTAGCAATAATATTCATTGTGTCTTTCGTGACTGTGGTACTGTGAAGGTAATAAGTTCTACTACTCATCTGGATTGATATTTTTTTCTGTAGTCATAAACAGTAAAATATAACTATAACTATTTGTCTTTACTCAGAGCTGACTGGTCTATCAAATATAGGTCTAGATCTATATATACCTATACATTTGAAGGAGTAGACACGGACCATTTTTTTTTACAATGAATATTTGGACTCAAAGATAATAAAAAAAACAGAGGAGAGTGAGAAGCAACAATAAAACTAATCATCTATTTAAACCATTGCAGTTTATGGCATCACAAGGATTAGGAAACTGCAATGGTTTGGGCATATGCATGACAGAGAGACAACATGTCAGAGAGACAACATGACAGAGAGATAACATGTCAGAGAGACAACATGACAGAGAGACAACATGACAGAGAGACAACATGACACGGAGAGACAATAACTGTTTACAGAAAAGAGATGAATGGGAGTAGACCATGAGGCAGACCTAGAAGATAAAGAAGAGATAATATGCAGGTAGATCTGCAAAAACACCTGAATAGCAACTGGAATGAGAAGGCCAAGCACAGATGAAGGAAGAAAGACGAATGGAGGGGAGTGATGTCTGCAGCAGTAACCTCAAGGGTTCAGAATGCTGAAGAAGAAGAAATGGAAGAGAAGGAAGAAAAATTAGAGTAAGAAGAAAAAGGAAGAGAAGAAAAAGAGGAAAAGGTTACTATTCCTTTCTTCTCTGATGGGCCCTAGTATACAGGTAATGGTGATTAACAGTGTTATTATTGCTTTTTTCTCCTATGGTCCCTAGCAACATACAGGTGAAAGTAGGTTACAGTTACAATTCTTGTCTTTTCTTACAGGCCTCAGTAATACACAGTGATCAAGTAATCATAGTTCCAACATCACTACAAATGGGTCACATCAATAGCTGCTCTGTTTCTGTGTTGGCAAAAAACAACACAAAATGTTCATCACCGTCCCTTGCGGGAAAAAAAAAACAGACTGCAGGCTCAGCAAATGCAGTAGCATACACATGTATTAAAAGCATAAGGCAGGCATCTAATGTGCCATCACCAACAGCTCGACACTAGAATTGCAGTTCATCATTGATGGAAACAGATCTTTAGTTACACACACGATTGATCACATAAGGTACCACTAGTTCTGTGACAATAGTCCACTCGCCATTTTATGAATTTACAGTTCACAATACAAACTACACTGGGTACAGTCAAAAAAGCATTCCAAAATGAAATCCGCAGTTGTCACGACATTCACTCAACTCAGTAGCTGGGTGACCTACCTATATTTCCTTTCAGTCTACCTATGTAGGAAAATGCATCGGCTACCTACGGTCACAAGAAAAAAATTGTCAAGGCTAAACAACAGTAAAACTGCCCATCCTCCATATAGACCAGAAATAAAAAATACACAGTGATGATATTATAACTTCAGATGATGATGGTGTGATACAATGTTACATCCTTTTCTTCACTTGGAAGCCCTAGTAATACACACTGATGAACACTTGTGTGTGGCATGGAGTAAACTATGGTGTTAACTTACCATACATTGCAAAGCCATGAAATGGGATGACCCCATTAGGTGGATAAATAACAGCAAACTCCTCCACACCCAGCTTGCCCCTGATGTAAGACTTGGGTGGTGTGGCACTGTTCTGCACAAAATGTTTCAGGACAACTGTGTCTCGGGAAAAGGGCAGTAACACCTGAAATGAGAATTTATTTCTTGTTCAGTACAAAAGTCAAGGAAATGTTGTATTACCAACATAAAAACGCAATGTTTAAAATTTTTTTTTTAATTCAACTTTTTTAGCAGTATAATCAAGATTACATTTAAACATTGCAAGACAAAGTCAATGTATATGCAGTATTATCAACATAAAAATTCAATGTTGTTGAATAAATTCATCTGGCAGTATAATCAAGATTATGTTTAATCATCAAGCAATATAGTCTGTCTATACTTCTTGTCCTTTTCAGGATGAAATTTTTCGTTAATTGAAGCCCTACTCTGTCTCTTGACAGGGGCTGCAATATAGCCTGGCCATAAATAAGGCCTAAAGGCTGAACGCAGTTTCTGGGACCTCCCCACGGTGATCCTAACCCACATGACATTGTGCTATCGGGTGTTTATCGCTTGTGTGATGTCCTAGAGGGGTAGAAAGTCAGTCAGTCAGTCAAGACATAGTCAATGTACAGTAGTACCATTTTTCTTTAGCCTCCTCAGACCTCGAGGTTTTTTGCTGCAGATATGACCCACCTCTGTTCTTCTTCGTTACTGGAAAGTTGATGACTTCCAAGTGATTGTAGATCTGCCTGTAAATTATCTCTACACTGTCTTCTTGGTCTGCCACGTGGTCTACTCCCATTATACTCTTTTCTATATACAGTTTTTGTCTGTTATCTGCCATTTTCTTTATATGCCTCAACCAATTTTCCACTGCTTCAGGCGTATTGGGCATGTAGGACTAGACCTATATTTTATAGATCAACTGGCATTTGTTGGGTGATGTGGCCAATATCAAGCTAGCCGCCTTTACTTCCAGGATTTTTCCTGGTATCCATATAAGGCTGGGTCAATCTGGGAGCCAAGGTCATTTTTCTTTAAAGTTTTGATTCTGAAATGGAACCAAGTGATCGTCTAGCCACTACACCACTGTGGCTCCCTAACCACTGTATTACCAACTTAAAACTCAACACCGTTGAATGCTAGCTAGCTAGACAGACAAATATAGCTAGAGAATTGAACACCAGCCAGAACAAATATTAAACTTCCCCGTGTTGGTTCCAGGGCCCTATAATAGGGAAACCAAGAATAGACCCACTGTCGACCCAAGAGGAATTCCAGAGAAATTTGACTAAAAAGCTCGACAAAATGGGGAAGCAGAAAAACGTGCACAAAACAACACAAATAACATAACATTTTGGCAGGGCAGCCTTTGTCAAACTACACAAAAAACATTGTTGTTATTTTTGTGTAGTTTGACAAAGGCTGCCCTGCCAAAATGTTATGTTATTTGTGTTGTTTTGTGCACGTTTTTCTGCTTCCCCATTTTGTCGAGCTTTTTAGTCAAATTTCTCTGGAATTCCTTGTATTAGCTTGACTGCAGTCACCCCCATATTTTCACCATTTTTGGATTGTCTACCCAAAAGCATGTCGTAAAAGTCTACTAATTGGGAGCTTCTCTCAAAGTGGGAGTGCATCTGCCTGAAAGGCAAGGAACCAACAGTCTGCATACAAATGAGTCAGATCTGTAAAAGGGATGCACACACAACACTTAGGTTCTGGAACAGGACTGCATGAACAACCAGAACTTTCCGCCAGAGTTTACAGCTGGTGAACGCGAAGAAGAAGAAGAATAAATATTAAACTGAGAAATATGTAATATTCTATCCTAAGAAATATATACTCATCTGACAAATATATACTAAACTGAAAAAAAAAAATAACTAGCCTGAGAAATAAATACTAGCCTGGGAAATATATACACTAGCATGAGAAATAAATATTGGCTTGAGTCATAACTAGTAGCCTGGGAAATATATGCTAAACCTAAAAAATAATTTCAAATATAAGAAAAAAATATTAACATGTGATATATATATATATTTCACAGGCTAGTATTATTTCTCAGGTTAATATATTTATATATATCACATGTTACTATTTTTTTCTTATATTTGAAATTTGAAATATATATATATATATGTATATGTCATTGTTGACACATAAGATATTCATAAGTAATTTCCACTGTTGCCAGTCTGCAGTTTTTCAGCCCACAGTATTCCCCCATTATTTTACATTCCTTCATTTCCCTTTCCTCTGCCCTTCTCCAGACTTCTTTAGGCCATCCATTTCTCCTTTTTTTTCTCCATTTCCCGTCCACAGGAGAGCTGTCCTTGCCAAGTGAAGAAATATATACTAACCTGGTAAAGAAAATCCTCAAAAACAAAATACTGGTCGTCATTTGTGGCAGTCAGTTTCACATCCTGAAATTCACATTTACATGTAATAAAGGAAGAGCAAAATTGAATATAATGAAATTATGTGTATAAGTTATGAGAATGCATATGAGAATGGTTACAAATGCTGGGCTCCCATGTGAGAGACCCAGGTTTGAATCCTCTGTAAGGTTGTCCTGACAGGAGCAAAAATCAAATCCTGACCTGTACAGTCCATAGCGACAGCATTAGTCATGCAGCTCTTTATCGTCAGGCTCAAAGACCCTCATGACTACACTGCACAAGTGGTAAATTTAGGCAGTAATGGCAGTTTATGTGTATGAGTTTGTATATGTGTGTACATGTTGGTTTATGTTAGGGTGGGTGGACAAATGTACTCTCAGTATGTGAAGATTCTTGCTAATTAAAATGTGTAGATACATGTTTCCTCTTTTGTTTTCAATAATACTCTATAGCAGATGTTCTCAACACAAAAGTGTACTGTACTTAACAGGCATTCAGAGTATATAAACACTCACCTTGTACTGTACTTAACAGGCATTCAGAGTATATAAACACTCATATTATACTTGTACACTGTTCAACAGTTATTATTCTGTGTTTGTCCTCAAAAGGGCAGTTGACATGTTTGTGAATTGGTTTATATCTGCATTTTTATTTGGCCCAATGCATTCCAGCAAATTTCTCACATTTCAGCAAACCACTAATCGGTCGCTTTTTATGACATGCTTGTTGGGGAGTTACAGTGAGTCTATTCTTTTACCCGCAAAAATAGGGTGCCAGAACCCACACAGAGGTGTTATAATATTATAGACATGCAATGTTATTAGAAGCTAACCTTATACAGCAGATTATCCACCAGCAAATCATGATGTAATACATAGGTTTTCAGCTGCTCATAGTAGAGATTATCCTGAAATGCAAGCAGGCAAAATATCATAGCGAGCATATTAAGCATCACTTTGAAATTATACGCTTGCTTGAGAAAAGTAAAAACGTAGCGCCATGATTTTTTGGTCCAGGCATGAGGGATAGTTAAGTGTGATTTGTGTAAGGAGATACTCCGTACCTCACCTAGAGTGCCAGCCTTCTCTGTGCTGGTTTTACGGAACCTCATGCAAGATTTCTGCTGCACGTCCCCATCCTGCACCACAGATAATCTTCTTCTTCTTCTTCGCGTTCACCAGCTGTACACTCTGGCGGAAAGTTCTGGTTGCTCGTCCACTACTGAACTGCAGTCCTGCTCCAGAACCTGAGTGTTGCGTGTACATCAGTTTTACAGATCTCATTCTCTTGAATACAGACTGTTCTTTCCTTGCCTCTCATGCAGATGCACTCCGACTTCAAAGGAAGCTCCCCAGTTAGTCGACTCTTACGACATGCTTTTGGGGAGGCAGTGGGTCTATTCTCGTTTTCCCCACAATAGGGCCCCGGAACCCACACGGGAGACCACGCATAATGTCTCAAATCAGCATTAACAGAGCTGGCAGGGGATCTCGGAGCTTGTGGTTCCCAGAGATGTAGTGTCCAGCCTGACCCACATCAGCCAACCCCCAAAAGCATGGGTAAAAAGGTCTATCAAAAACTCATTTGGAACATTAGTAAAGTCTGCTTGCTGAACGCACCACTAAAAAACTACTCTCAGTTAAAAGTGAAAGAAAAACTGAACTGCTGAGAGCCCTTGACCACGAAATTTACCTGAAACTTAGATGAGTAACATCTCCTGTGAGCGGTTACTCGCAGTAAAATCCTGTCTACGTATGTCGTGGCATTCCTCAACATCCTCGTCACCGTGTCGAGGTACACCACGACAGTCACTATCAGCTGCTGGGTAGGCTCAAATATCCGACAAAGGTATGTCCTATGGCAAACGAGCAAAATCTCAATGCCTGATCATCAAAAATCCTACTGATTGGCTGGAAGGTTCAGATACCTGTATCCATCGGCCCACTTGCCCGAGTTTTTGGGATGAAACAGGTGAAGCCATACCTGATGCATACCTTTCCATACGGCAGTGCTAAGCACACAACTGAACCAAAGTTAAAGGTGCCTAACATGATGAAGAAGAATGTAGCTATTTCTGTGTCATTAGAGTCCTGGACCTGTGGGCTGCTCCCTGCTGATCTCCGGACAGTGCAGCCCATGACAAGTGGACAGCTCAACATATTGCTATGAGGTTAAGCAGTCATGTGCAGACGTGATGATTCATTGAGTGAGCCCAGAGCCACAGTGGCATGTGCCGGCTCTGCATTTATGGAAGCCTCCTTGGATGGTGGGGAATGCCCATGATCTGCCCTCTGCCTTCCCTTGAAGGCTGTCCAGTCTATACACAGTTTCACTAAAGGGGTTCTCCGGGGGCAAAATCTGTAGATAAAGAGACAAAGAGGATACCACACAATTGAGGCAATATCATGCCCAACGAAACTATGGCCACCATCGTCCTAGAGATAGCATCAACATTTTTCTTTGAAGTTGAAGTACATCTGCTCGAGAGGCAGGGAACACAATATAACGGATGTACAGGCAAAACTCAGGTCCTGGTAGAAAGCCAGAAGTCCAAATGGATGAACAACCAGGACTTTTCACCGGAATTCACAGCCAGTGAACAAGAAGAAGAAGGAGAAGTTAAAACACAGATAAAGGTGTTTATTCTTTATACAATGAAAATTATTCAGTCGAGTCCACTCAAGTCAAACTCTGATAAGTTGAATTTCGCTTAAGTCGACAGGATCAGCTTAGTCGTGGCCATGTTATTAGTGTATTCTCTGTACTATGTAGGCTATCTGGATAAGTAGCATTTAGAATAAGAAGAACAATTTCCTAAGGTCCCTGGCACTTCTATTTATCCACCCAGGGACTTCTACTTATCCACCCTGGGAATTATACTTATCCACCCTGGGACTTCTACTTATCAAAACTCCACTGTATTTACTTTACAATCAACTCTTTATGCTGTAAGGGAGCCGTGGTAGTATAGTGGCTAGACCTTGCCTGGAAAATTGGAAGTCATGAGTTCAAATCCTTGGTTCCCAGGTCAACCCCATCTAAAATGGGTACAAGGTAATGTCCTGGGAGATAAAAGTGACACTGTCATGTTGACTGAGTGCTGATTAGTACATAAAAATATGTCTAGCATTATATCCCGATGTGCTTCTGACATGAAAAGGGTCCTTTCTTCTTCTTCTTCTTCTTCAGCATTCCGAGCCCTTGAGGTTTATTGCTGCAGATATCACCTGCCTCTATCCATCTCTCTGGTTGGCCTTCCCCTTCCAGCCGGTGATACCAAGTGTCTGCAGACCTGTCTGGACACGATCTCTTCATTGCCCGCCCCGTGGTCCACGACCACCCATCTTCCTCGCGCACACACAGTCCCCAGCTCTCCACTATTTGACACTCTCTCAACACACCCCAACCATCTCAGTCCACCAGCCCCCAAGATGCCAGCATCAGTGGTGATCCAAACAGATCACGAATTTCGCTGTTGCCTCCCACCCTCCACTAAACGCTGTTTGCATCTTTGATTGGTCCAAAGATTCGACGTAAGACTCTGTTTTCAAAAACCTGTAATAAGGCTTCATCTGGATAAAAGTTTCCTTTGCTTTTAATTATTTGTTTAACTTTATGCAGCACTGAAGATATGTGATTCTTTTACTGCTGATTACTCACTCACTAAATGGACCCGATGTGAGCGTAGCAGGGAACCCAAGCAGAAACAGACTAATAACCTGACAGACAGCATACATACGCATGGAATGGCAAAACTAGACATTGAAGATAATGCTGATGACTCACCACACTGGTTAGTTCGATCCCCAAAATCTGGCACCACAGTTCAGCTCTCATTGATATAGGGCATCCTTTTTTGGAAAACTCTCTGGACACTGGGGCATGATTTGCTGCTAATACTTTTAGGAGAAAATGATACTGTCTTAACAATGAATAAAAGGTAAAAGTAAAGTCTGGAGATGTGAACCAGCGTCATTGCACATTGTTTTAAACCATAAGTGCTCTGCTACCAGTATGGACAGCTGATAAGAAACTGTCCGCCTGTGTCACTGTCCGCACGTAACTCTGTTGCTACAGCGACATTCCTCCATTTTCCCCAGAGTGTCACTCTGGTACCTATTTTCTATAGGCTGGGTAAACCCCGGGAACCCCCAGGTTTTAAACACCGACCGTGGCTGCAGCGAGTTGCAGCTGGATTTGAAAGCAAGCCTCCTATTGACTGTGCTAACGCGGCTCCCTTAACAACGAATATAAGCAACTAATAAATAATCTACTCACTTATACTAATTCCGCCAGTCATGACACAATCATTAAAGAACTGTATAACTCAATCATATTTATTGGGCTAGACATGACATAATCATTAAAGAACTGTATAACTCAATCATATTTATTGGGCTAGACATGACACAATCATTAAAGAACTGTATAACTCAATCATATTTATTGGGCTAGACATGACATAATCATTAAAGAACTGTATAACTCAATCATATTTATTGGGCTAGACATGACACAATCATTAAAGAACTGTATAACTCAATCATATTTATTGGGCTAGACATGACACAATCATTAAAGAACTGTATAACTCAATCATATTTAATGGGCTAGACATGACACAATCATTAAAGAACTGTATAACTCAATCATATTTATTGGGCTAGACATGACACAATCATTAAAGAACTGTATAACTCAATCATATTTAATGGGCTAGACATGACACAATCATTAAAGAACTGTATAACTCAATCATATTTATTGGGCTAGACATGACACAATCATTAAAGAAACTGTATAACTCAATCATATTTATTGGGCTAGACATGACATAATCATTAAAGAACTGTATAACTCAATCATATTTATTGGGCTAGACATGACACAATCATTAAAGAAACTGTATAACTCAATCATATTTATTGGGCTAGACATGACACAATCATTAAAGAACTGTATAACTCAATCATATTTAATGGGCTAGACATGACACAATCATTAAAGAACTGTATAACTCAATCATATTTATTGGGCTAGACATGACACAATCATTAAAGAACTGTATAACTCAATCATATTTAATGGGCTAGACATGACACAATCATTAAAGAACTGTATAACTCAATCATATTTAATGGGCTAGACATGACACAATCATTAAAGAACTGTATAACTCAATCATATTTATTGGGCTAGACATGACACAATCATTAAAGAACTGTATAACTCAATCATATTTATTGGGCTAGACATGACACAATCATTAAAGAACTGTATAACTCAATCATATTTATTGGGCTAGACATGACACAATCATTATTCAACAACTAAGAAGGTTATTAACATGTGCTAACTTGAAAAACTACAGACATTATACAAATTTTGCTTCTATAATCAATTTTAAACATATATTATTTACACAGAAGGGTGACCCAAATCAAGATATCATATTTATTCTATGAAAAGTTAAAGATCCCATTTCTGTGCCACAAAAGTTATTAGAAATATCTGCTACGTATATATGTTTAAGTGAAACAGCTCTGTATGGGTGTTGTGGTTAGGACCAGGAAAGAGATTCAATTCTTACAGCACCAGATATCCCCCCCCCCCCCCCCCACCAAAAAGAAAAAATGACATGACAAGACTCATCCAGACTCCCAGGGTCGCATTATAAAAAAACCTGCTTGGGTGGAGAACTGGAACAATAACCATCAAGCCAAAAGACATGTCTATTCACCTCTGTGACATAAAACTGCATTTACCACTTTTGCAGTGTAGGTCGCTGGAAAAAAGGAGGGGGTTAAAAAAAAGGGAGAGGGTGTGAAGAGATCTGTGTGCCTGAGGATTTTAATATGCATGACTAGAGCTGTCACCATGGACTGCAGATAACGACTTTACTTCTTACCCCTGACAGACAAAAACCATAACCTTACTAAAGATTAAAACATGGCTGAGAGCCCAGGGTTCTTAACAGTTCAGCTATCCGTTCCTCACTGTGCCATGACCGATGCCAACTACAGTCACTCTACAAGCTGTATGCAAAAGATGTAGCAAACGTCACTAACAATTTCCACATTTTTGAGCACAAGATGCTAACCTATTATTTTTAAAGACCAAGAGCATATGATAGAAGATATGGTCAATATCAAACCAGCTGGCTGCTTTAACTTCCCAGTACATCTCCTTATATAATTGAACTAAGACCGGTCCCAAGCCCTGCTGAAGAGATTGTCAGACAGCTGTCTCAGCATATGCACTAGCATACACATGCATTAAAAGCATACAGTAGCCATCAGAAGAGCTAACACAAACAGTCCGATATTGGAAATGCAGTTCATCATCGAAGGTAGCAGGTAACCAACAAATTAGCAGTTGCACACGTGATCAATTTTAATCACATAAGGGCACCACCAATATTGCGACGACAGGCCACGCGCCATTTTCTGAATCTACCATTCACAACACTACGTTGGTCACAGTCGAAAAAAATTCCAAATGAAATCCGCAGCTCACAGGGTCGCACCATGCACTCAACTCAGTAGCTGGGCGACGAAACTATATCCTTTCAGTCTACAAATGGAGCAAAAATGCAACAGCCACCGCCTGGCAGAAGCAAAAACTTTGCCATATCTATGCCTTGGCTATATTCAGGGCCCCCGGCAGAAGCCAGAATGGGGCTTCAAATAAACAAATTGCATCCCACATGAGGACTTTGTGATATCTTCCTATAGCTGGCATTTTAGGGTGGGAACACAGGACACCCCCAATGGGGATTTGAATCTACAACTACTGGACCAGTAAGTAAACATGCTAGCATTGCGCTACCACAGTCCAGATACATATTTATATAGATGATAATTAGAAATGTAAAAGGGTTCGTTTCTGTTCTCACCTTTTCTTCCTAGCTTGGTTCTGTCAGTGTCAAATAATTCTGCTGGGATATCAGGGAAGTCATCAATCCCTGTCTGGCACTGGGTAATGGCCATGTCACTGTACTGTAGCCTCTGAAACACACATTTACATAAATGTTCAAATGCTTCTATGTAACATCAATGAAGACAGACAGGCAGACCGACAGACAGACAGACAGACAGACAGACAGACAGACAGACAGACAGACAGACAGACAGACAGACAGACAGACAGACAGACAGACAGACAGACAGACAGACAGACAGACAGACAGACAGACAGACAGACAGACAGACAGACAGACAGACAGACAGACAGACAGACAGACAGACAGACAGACAGACAGACAGACAGACAGACAGACAGACAGACAGACAGACAGACAGACAGACAGACAGACAGACAGACAGACAGACAGACAGACAGAATGAACAAACGAACGAACTTTATTTTCCAAGGGTTGAGAATTGGGCACCATTCTTTTCTTCTATTCTCCCTTCTTTCATACATCATTTCATTCATACATCAAGTAATAGTAAAAAAACATTATCAATAGCATCACAATTTTCAATATAAGCACTGGAATGTGCACATTTCTAACTACAGTAAACCGTGGTAGTTGTAATAAATCTTGAACAACAGAAATAAAGAAAGAAAGAAAGAAAGAAAGAAAGAAAGAAAGAAAGAAAGAAAGAAAGAAAGAAAGAAAGAAAGAAAGAAAGAAAGAAAGAAAGAAAGAAAGAAAGAAAGAAAGAAAGAAAGAAAGAAAGAAAGAAAGAAAGAAAAGAAAGAAAGAAAGAAAGAAAGAAAAAGAAAGAAAGAAAGAAAGAAAGAAAGAAAGAAAGAAAGAAAGAAATGGGCACAGAGGCAGACCGGGGGAAGGGGTGAGGGGGGATGCTGGACAGAAGATCAATATTAGAAATGACTGACAGCATATGAGACAGAAGGGAGCGGACAGACACAATAACATGTCATAAACAAAGACAAAGACAAAACACAAACATGCATGTAATGTGTGTATGCCCCATCCCTCCTCAACCCCCCACACACACACCCAACAGAGAGAGAGAGAGAGATTGGGTGGAGGGGTGGGGTTTGTGGGGGGAGGGGGGGGGAGAGATATTTTCAGATCTTCAGTTATTAAGTAAAGCTTCTACTAATTGTTCCCACGAGAGGTTGGTTATAATGTCTACTATCTTGGAGTCAAAGACAGCGTGTGGAAAATGACCCTTTTATGCAAAAGGTATGATGAAAGACTCATGTTTCTACAGACCAATCAGCACTCAGCTGGTTATGTGGTCAACATCATGGTGGCTGACCTCGTCTTCCCAAGATATCCTGGTACCCATTTTGCTTGTGTGATCAGAGGGGATGAATTTGATTTTTCCAGGTCGCAGGTCAACAACAACAAAAGTATTGTATGAAAACTCACACTGCTTAAATACTAACCAGTTCATTAAGTGATTTGACTCTCAGAGGCGCCTGAATCATTCCCCAGAGAAGGTTGCAGGTCCTTAAAAAAAAAAAGCAACAAAAACACATTTTAACAAAAGCATATCAAACACACGCAGGGGATGTTAGTGGCAAAGTGCTTAAGCTTCTTTTTCTTAGCATTCACTGGGTACAAACTTAGCGGAAAGTTCTGGTTGTTTGGGCACTGCTGGACTTTGGTCTTGTTCTTGTTCTAGAACTTAAGATTTTCATGCACAAATGTTGGTACAATCATTTTAACTTACCCCATGACGTCACGGGGAACATTCAAATAATTTCCAGGGGGGTAAGGTTGGGGGGATTTTTCCCTTCTAGAGTACATTGCAAAAACGCGTGTTTGTCTCTTATGACGTGTGTTTACTGCGCGTCAGCAGTCTCTATCTTTGCCGCGTCTGGTTGCTACAATTAGTAGCATCTGTAAGAGACAAGGAGACCTGCCTTGCCTTCCTGCAACAGCATAGCATTCTGCACAGAACGAGAGGTTGCTGAAACAACAATCAGATAGATGGTGTATTATCGGAAAGACAGTAGCATTTGTACGAAACAGGGAGACCTGCATTGCCTTCTAGAAACAGCATAGCATTCTGCACAGAACAAAACGCAGAAACAACCATCAGATAGATGGTGTATTATCGCTGTCGTAAAGACACATGACCGTTTGCCGGTGGTGAAAGTCCACCTGTCATCTGGACATACCCGCGCGGCAAATTGCGGACCTCTTTCAGGCAACTATACCGCCACCGCCAAGAGTATCCGCGGGGAGCGGGGCTAAACTAGATGGCTGGGACTCACGAGCAGCAGCTACCGCACCTCCTGCAGCTTCCTCCTTTTTATTTGCTCGTGAATCCCAGCCGTCTAGTTTAGCTCCCCCCTCTCGGCGGTGGCAGTATAGTCGCCGGTAAGAGGTCCGCAATTTACATGTGACTAAGGCCCTGGCAGGGTATATTTTCGGCCTCGATAATTTGGGCCCGTTTTTCAGAGGATAGCCAAAAAACAATTTACATTTAATTTTAAAAAAAAAAATTTTATTTACACAAAAAAGTCACGTAGGTATTGAACGCACATTTAAAAAAAAAAAAAGAAACAACAACAATTTACCCATACACACACACAAAAAGTCACGTAAGGATTGAACGCAGCACCTTTCATTTATAATGCAGATATGATATCCCCTACGCTAAACATTCACATGTCAAAATAATATAAAAACATGACCAGTACTGTACACTGAAAATTGCGCATCAACAAGCAGCCGACTGTGCATCAACAGACAGATATATGCCACACCAAAATACACTAGAAGAGAAATGACACTATCAGCACACTTGCACCCCTTGAAATAGTTGACGGTCAAGTCAGCTGTGGAATTCCCACAGATTCCCCGCGTTTGGGGTACGTTGTAAATATTGCACCCAAATGTTTTACAGATTCAGCTTATTTATACTCAGACTGTTAGTTCCTTGTCCCTCAGGTAGATACACTCTGACTTCGAAGGAAACACCCCTAATTAATTATCGTTTACTATGTGCTTGTTAAAGAAAGGAGGTGGGGTCAGTGGGTCTATTCTTATTTTTCCCCAAAATGGAGTCCTTAAATTCGAGGGGCGAAGTGCTTTAGCCATTTGCCTAGTGCTCTAAAAGCTGTGGGTTCAATTTTGGACACAGTCCTTTGGTTAGGAATTGCAAGAGTTTTGGGGATCTGGGGGGAGGGGGGTTGTTGGTGCTACAGTCTCCTCTGGCCCTAAGGATCACAGGTCCTAAGGACCATGGAGCTTTAGCTTCTTTTTCTTAGCATTCACTGGGTACAAACTTAGCAGAAAGTTCTGGTTGTTCATCCACTGCTGGACTTTGGTCTTGTTCTTGAACTTAAGTTTTTCATGCACAAATGTTTTACTGCTGGATTTGAGAACAGCACATGCTATGAATGTAGTCCAATGACAGAGTGGCAGTCTCTGCTACATAGTCTGTGTTGGCACTCTATTATACCAAGTCTGCTTTCTCTCAGACATCTCCTCTCTATAGAATGCTTCACTTAGCATCTTGCAACTGTAATAGTCCATCTTCCACTGTCTTCCTCCACAGGAGTCAGTCTGCAATTGATCTCCAAAGTGTCAATGTTGGTATCCTTTAGGTCACATTTGCGTGTGTCCTTATAGCGTAGTCCTAGCCTTCTTGTGGATCTTGTCCCTGTTTCCAGTTCACAGAAAATCCTTTGAAATATGACCGTCCTCCATGCTGGAGAATATTCCAACCAGCACAAGCATCTTTGTTTCAGTAGAAAATACATTATTGGCATTCCTGCTCTTTGAGTAGAAATTTGTTGTCGGTCTCTTTCCTTCACCTCGCTTGGCGTATCTAGACTTTACAAAAAAGATTTCCTGTCAGGGTGAGATACTTTTGATATTAAATCTTCCCCCCCCCCCCCCCCCCCCCCCCCCCCCCCCAAACGAACTTTTTCTCTTCTTTTTTGTCTTGTTACTGAGGCAGCTTAAGGTTGGGTACCCAACTCGCCAGGTCACATTGTTAGAACTCTTGTATGTTCGGAGTCAAGAAGATTTCAAGGAGTTTATTTCCATAATATCCTTTATAGTTATCTCTTCTCTTTCCTCCATCACAAGATACACCCTCTGCTTTGCTTCTAGGAGTCTGGATAAGTAGAAGTCACCAGGACCTAAGAAAATGCTTCCACTTATCAGCACTTCTACTTATCCAGACAGCATACATAACAGGGAGTGTACACTCAAACCAAGCAGCAGCACTGAGTAAAACAATTATACCAGTTAGGAAGCATCATGAGTTAACAAATAAATAGCAATACAATATCATAAATGTTAAAATATTTAATTATTTTGGAAGGTATAATATTAAAACCATATGAAAATTCAGACATTCAGATAAACAAGGAAAATGGCCCGAAATAAGCTGGTCATGTCAACTTAAGCCAAATTCGACTTATCAGAGTTGGACTTAAGTGGACTCGACTGTACAAAGTCTCGCCATGGTATACCAAGAATGACTCTCATACAGCGCGTGTGGAAAGTATTCAGTCCTCTTTCTTGAGGAGCATACAGAATATAGGTTTTACTCTCATAAAGGAGTTTTCTCAGGACACAGGCTTCATAAACTTTAATTCTGGTCCTGTCTATTAGCTTTTAGCTGACACAGGGAGAACAAACAAAACAAATACTAACAAGCTACAAACATTCATTAACTGCTGTCGATGCAGAACAGGGGGAATTAAATGGTATAAGAGAGTCACCAATACCCATTAGCTAAGTGTAACATGTAAGTTTGAGATGTCTGTCAGTCAGGTTTTGTGCTGTCATAACCACCTGTGCATCAACCTTCCTGCGAAATGCAACTCACCATCAAGTGGTGCAGACTGGGCAAGTCTATCTGCCTGCTTATTTCCCAACACACTGGCATGACCTGGAGAAAATATCCCCAAAAAATACTAACTACCCAGGACCTCTGAAGTGATGCTTTGCCAAAAGACTTACTAGACTTACTAAATGTCTACCCTTCCCAGGGGATGTGATTTTCCTTCAAAACATTCTACAAACCTCCTGATGGAGACCAGCATTAGTGGATAGTTTCACAGTGCAATAACACATGCATGCAGTCAGTCAATCAATCAGACAGTTAATCAATCAACTAATTCACATACAAAACAAAATACAGATTTAAAAAATGTCACATCAACAAATTACCAACCCAACACTTCCAGTTGTGTGGCAGTTTGAGTTCTGAAGACCGATTACCACTTCCAAGAAATCTTTGGGTGCATAAACAGGTCTGATCTGGCCCAAATCTGCCAAGAACAATAAATAATGAAACATGCTCATGAACAAATTCTGGACCAAGCAAATCACCATTAGTCAGTTATTTCTAGATGGCTAAACATGTTAAGTTCCTTAAAAAACAATGTGATATTTCCTTAAATCACAGAATGCTGGAAAGATTCTCTCTCTCACCAGTTCCCCTGCCCTGAATGTCTTTAAATTTCTCAGTCCCAAAGAACGCTCAATGTGTGAATCACTCTAGCTGTTGAATGTTATGTTATTACAAAAAACATAACAGCACGTTGGGCATTTCCATACATGCTCAGTCCCCCAATGCAGCAGCCACTCCAAGGTACTTCTACTAATTGTTCCCATAAGAGGTTGATTATAATGTCTACTATCTCGGAGTTGAAGACTATACAGAGATGCTTGAATCCCCTCCATAGCTTAACAGGTTCTCTTACTTTTTGTATCTGGTCACAACACACACAAGAAATCTGGCATTTCCAATGGTCACTACTACTCTTATATTACCACTTTTAAAGTAATGCACTGATATTTTTTAATCACAGATATTTCTTCATGGGTATCTAATAAGAAATCTTATTCTGGTCCTGAAAGAGTTAACATCCTATACCCAACATCATCATGTTCACCTTGGGTCTCTTCTTTTAGGCACTGTATCCCTAATATGCCAGTGGTGTAAGTAAATAAAAAAAGGGGCCTTACTTTTAACCTTTACTTCAATTTCTGATCTTTCAAAACCACTCTGACATGTAATGCAACCAGCCTTTTAGTTTTCAAGCTCTACTTCTGTTAATGAGCCAGATTTCTGCTATGTTCAGATGTGATCAATGAATAAAATAATGTAGGATAAGTTTAAAAGAAAGATCTTTAAAAAATGCACCCAACCAATTTATAAAAGATGCATACTTTGCCCATCTGTAATCTGTAAACAACTTTCAGCTTAATTAATAACGAATAAGAGTAAGCATCTCAACAACCTTTTCACCACATTTATTGGAAAGTGATAAACTGATCGGTTACAACGTTGGGCTCTCATGCCCGAGAGGTGAAGGTCAAGGAGTTTTTCTGGTCGGGGGAAAAATTAAACATTGTAGCCTGCACAGTCAGTGATGACAGCACTAGCCATGCTGCCCTAAATCCTCAGGCTCATGACCCCTTCTTTACACTGCCTTAACAAGTGGTACATTCAGACAGTAGCGACAGTTTAGCTGAACTGAAATATTGAGTATGAGTTGGGTTATCCTCACAACACTCGAGATACATTCATAAGTGCTCAGTTTTTCCCCTCAACAGATACATCAGAGTCTCCAAATCAACAGTGCCAGTTCTGTGCTGGTTGCCAAGACTTCTCATAGTTCTGATGCAACTCTCGAGTCTGATCGTGACAACTTTACTCCCAGTTCTCACATTCTTAGCAGTGATGTAGACACACTGCCCTCTAAATCCTCTGATGGTCTTCCCTCTTTAGGGGGATTAACCAAAAAACTTAAATATTACACACAGCGCTGGTTAGAAACTGAAAATGTATTACATCTGCCACAGCAAGCATTTCAGTTCAGCAGTTAATGGAGCAATGATAGGTACAGTACAGGTAAATGATTTCATCGAATGTTAAAGAATAAAATGATTTGGTCATGTGGTCAGCCAGCAGCTAGAGCATACTGCATAAAAACAGCAGACTACAAGTTAAGAGGCTGACCAAGAAAGAGATGGGTGGAAGGAGTAAAAGAGACACTACAGAAATGCAGTATAACATTAACACAAGCTACACAACTAGTAAAAGTCAGGAAACTACATCTAACTTCTCTCTGTGATGCTTTACTGCAGTAGCAGTAGGACAAAAAGAAGAAGTTACTGGAACTGAGGATAAAAGAGCTTAAGATAACATCAAGATATGTTTCGGAAAATGTCAAGCGGAATGTACAATGAAAGCTCAGGAGAGAATCTGCAAGACATTCATCTGCTAGATGAGATGATGGTTCTAGTCTATTTACAGTAAAACCTTGTAAACAAATGGTGCTGTCGTGGTGTAGCGGCTAGATGCTCGCCTGCAGATCAGAAGTTGTGGATTCAAGTCTTGATGGAGCCAAAATTTTTTTTTTTAAAGATCTTGGCTTCCAGGCTGACCTAGCCTTTACCAGATAAAGTCCTAGGAAGTAAAGGTGGCTGGCATGTGGCACGATGTTGACCACCCCACCTAACGAGTGCCGGTTGGTCTGTATGATATAGGTCTAGCCATATGTGTCTAATACACCTGAAGGTGTGAAAAAGTGCCCTTTACCTTCACTTTACTTTACTTGTAAACAAAAACTTCCTTAAGATGATCACTTTGTAAACATGCAAGCAATTCTGGCCTGGCAATTATGTGCATATAATATTATAGTGTCTTAGTCCCCTGTAAGCACCAATTTTTTTTCAACACAAACTCTTTGATTTCTGGTCCCTTGAAATTTGTTGTTTATGATATTATACTGCAATACATTTGTGCTGCCTGTTATACATTCAACTTCACAGAAAGTAACTTTTACCTGGCCCATCCACTCCCAGTTCTGTCCACCTGGATAGCATATCCTTGAGTTCCTTCTCTGGTCTCTGTACGGACAATCATAATGGTCTATAAATCAGTTCCATAAATCTACCTGTGTGGGTTATGGGCCCTATTTTAGGGAAAACAAGAATAGACCCACTGCCTACCCAAAAGCATGTCGTAAGAGTCGACAAATTGGGAGTTTCCTTTGAAGTCGGAGTGCATCTGCCTGAGAGGCAAGGAACCAGCAGTCTCTATGCCAATGAGCCAGATCTGTAAAACGGATGCGCACGCAACATTCAGGTTCTGGAACAGGACTGCAGTCCAGAAGTGAACGAACAACCAGAACTTTCCGCTGAAGAAGAAGAAGAAGAAGTTCCATAAATCAAGAAAACCATTGTTTGTAGCTGCTGCAATACTCACTTTGAATGTTCATAAAACATTTTTTTTTAAATAATCAGGCACAATATGCACACACGTTTATAAAATCCCCCTCCCCCTTCCTCCCCCCACTTATCAACAACAAAAAAGCTTATTGAACCAATTTTTGTATTAAACCTTACATACTGCTTGCATAACTTTATGCAGCTGAAGATGCCCGTGAAGAAATGGCTCTTCTGTACATGTTGCCTAGCATAATGTAATCTAAACCGATATGTCTAAAATGAAAACCATGATATGTCATGGGAAATAAAGGCAGCTGAAATCATGTTGATGACATCACCCATTGAGTGACCATTGGGATCAAGAGCTGCTGAACCAGGTGGTGGTGAACCAGCTGGTGGTGGACCAGTCTGTGGTGAACCAGGTGATGGTGAACCAGGTGATAGTGAACCAGTCAGTGGTGAACCAGGTGATGGTGAACCAGGTGATGGTGGACCAGGTGATGGTGAACCAGGTGATAGTGAACCAGTTGGTGGTGAACCAGGTGATGGTGAACCAGGTGATGGTGAACCAGGTGATGGTGAACCAGCTGGTGGTGAACCAGGTGATGGTGAACCAGGTGATGGTGAACCAGGTGATGGTGAACCAGGTGATAGTGAACCAGTTGGTGGTGAACCAGGTGGTGGTGAACCAGGTGATGGTGAACCAGTTGATGGTGAACCAGGGGATAGTAAACCAGTTGGTGGTGAACCAGGTGGTGGTGAACCAGGTGATGGTGGACCAGGTGATGGTGAACCAGGTGATAGTGAACCAGGTGGTGGTGAACCAGGTGGTGGTGGACCAGTCTGTGGTGAACCAGGTGATGGTGAACCAGGTGATGGTGAACCAGGTGATGGTGAACCAGGTGATGGTGAACCAGGTGATGGTGAACCAGGTGACGGTGAACCAGATGGCGGTGAACTAGGGCTGGCACTCCTACTGGCCAAGACCTATCTAACCTCTCCATGGTGATCCTAGAAACATGTTCCCAACTGGAAGCCTGGCCAATGTAGATTTTTCCTTCAAAGTTGGAGTGCAAGAAGCAAGAAACCAACAGTCTGCACACAGATAAGCCAGATTTGTAAAATGAATGTGCATGCAAAATTTAAGTTCTGGAACCCACTGATGGGTTTACACCCGAGTGCCATGATTTTTATTTGGCAACTAAACTAAGAGAATAGCTATAATTTTGCAATTTTTTAGCCGATACATCCAAACTCTTCAGGTATTTGTTGTCCGAGCTGGCCTTCCCAGTACTAAAACTTCCAAAGATATTCTATGATCTCCATATATTTCCTCTAATTTTACGAGTTTAGATCAATTTGGGTGAATGTATTATAGCAAATCTCTTGCAAATAATAGAAGTTTTACAATCCTGGATGAGCCCAACTTTTTGCTAGCACTTCTGACTGCTACCATATGCATTTAATGTGTGCGGTATAGACATATGGCTGGCCATGATCCTAATGGCAGCATTAACCATCTAATAAGAAAGGACCAGGCCACCATCTTCAGACTCAGAACACAACATATTCCACTCAGTGGACATCTAAACAGAATACAGCCACAACAACCCCCCCCCCCCCTCCCCTCGAGAGCCAGCTATGAAACTATCCCTATGAAACTGTTGACCATCACCTCTTTGAGTGTCCAAAACTCAGCGAGACTAGAAGAATGCTACTTCCTCCGAGACCAGACAAGTGGAACACCTTGCACGGAGGAAAAGAACAGCTTGTGAAAACATGCAAATTCCACTACATGGCATTGGACCAGACGGCGAAAGCTCATGCGCCGCTGGATCGATAACAATAACAACAATGTGTGCGTATACTACTGGCTTTGTTAAGACCATAGTCTGTGTCAACGGAATCAGTAGAGAAAGAAGATTATTATGGCCTGGAGAGAATGAGACACCTGGGTCTAACCAGAGGGTCTGGCCGGCTCACTACACTCAAAGGAAAGGCAAGACAGACATTTAACCAGAATGTGACCGGTACCATTAGTATTGGAACTCTGCGCTGGCTGCTGGAGATGAGGACGGAGCACACATGGAAATGCCCCGAGTGTTGAAATGTAAATTCTTGACTCAGCTCAACTCAACTCAGCTCTGTCAACTTGTTCACAAGGAACAGTGATGGACATTCTGTGTCGTTTTTATCGGCACAGGAAGGAAGCAGCTATGGGGGGAAGGGGGTGGGGGGGGTGACCAGTTTGCTATGAAACTGGAACTGTGGTTACCTGATTACCTCTTTCTGCATAAACACACAATTGCTGGAGTAATATATATGTACAGCAGGTGGAGGGAGTCGCCGTAGTCGAGCGGCTAGATGCTTGCCGCGGATCGGAAGGTCGTGGGTTTGCTCCCTTGCAGAGCCAGACTTTTTTCAAAAATGACCTTGGCTCCCAGGTCGACCCAGCCTTGAGTGGGTACCGGGTGCAGTCCCAGGAAAGTGAAGGCGGCCGGTGTGATACTGACCACATCACCCATCTTGTGCCGATTGGTCTATAAAAATATAGGTCTAGCCCTATATGCCCTATACGCCTTAAGGCGTGGAAAAGGGTCCTTTACTTTACTTTACTTACAGCAGGTGGGGGTTAATCTTGGAATGTGAGCAAACAAATTAAGAAGAGTTTGGAGGTAACTGAGATGTGGTTCTTGAGAAGAATGTTGCGAATACCTTGGACTGCCAGAATAACTACCAATGATTGCCTGGAAATGGTTAATGAAAGTAGAACATTATATACAACAATGAAAAGGAGACAAACAGAGTTCTTTGACCATGTGATGGGAAAAGGAGCACTGGAAAATATTGTGATGACTGGAAAGATCACTGGTAGAAGAAGCAGAGACAGACCAAGAGAAATGATGGTGGATGGCTTAAAACAGTGGCATGGAGGAATATCACCAGTGGAATTGATCCAGAACACCAAAGGTCGAGATCTGTGGAGATGCATGAACGCCCATGCCAGCTGGCAAGGCACTTGATGATGATGATGAGGTAGGGATTTGAATTTAATATTAAATAACTTTACCCTTCTAGCTAGTGGAATGTTCAGTTCTGTGCACATACTGTTTAAACTTTTCAGAATTTTCTTTTCCCACGCTATCTGCAAAATAAACAGAAATACAAAGACACTTAAAAGAGTTTACAGCAGGGAAGTGAAAGTTGCAAGCTGTTAATTTATTAAGTGTAACATTTCCTCAGAGATGTGGTTTCACAGAAAAATGCTTAGAATACCTTGGACAGCCAAAAAGAGCAACCAAGAGGTTTTGAAAGAGGCTGGCAGCCCGAAGACAACTTATCACAGACATTAGAAGGAGACGGTCATCATTTTTCGGCCATGTTATGAGAAGAGGGGAAATAGAACATATTGTGACCACTGGAAAGATCTGTGGAAGGAGGGATAGAGGAAGACAACGAGAGAAGATTCTTGACAGTCTTGTTGCAAGGCATGGAGGTGTGTCGGCACACGAACTGATACATGCTGCAGGATATCATAGATTGGCGAGAGGCATGATCGCCCACGCCAGTCGGCAAGGCACCTGATGGTGATGATGCTGAACATTTTCTAAAGTGTTTGTATCAACTATAAATAAATTTCAAACCCCACACAAAAATACAGATCTTGGGTTTGGATCAATATACTTCTCTTTTTTCTTCTCCCACAATATATACTAAGTCTTCCTATTTTTTGACAACTCCTACAGCTTCGTACATATCCTTCCCAGATTATTCTTTTGTCTCTAAATATCTTTTCTGTGTGTTTTAGGTTTCCTTCTATTTCTTTTTATCCCTGTGGGTTCCAGTGAAAGAACATATTCGTTATACTAATATCAGGTTTCATAATAAGTGTTTTGTACATCTGATTACATAAAACTAATTTTTCAGAATTATTTGTTTACATGCTTACAGAACGATAGCATCTCTGATGTGTCTTCCCCTTAATGTGGCAGAGGAGCTTTTGTGTTTCAATGACTCAAGAGCTATGCTAACAATAGCCTGTGTTGGATAGCTCAACACTGTCACCCTGAGAAAACTGGTTTTCTGACATTTTTTCGGGTTTTGATAACATGATGTTTTTGGGCAGTGGCCACTATACCTATACAGCAGCTTTGGTAGTGGCTGCAAGTGCAGAGTGGGTAGACGATGATGATGTTCGAATGAACGGACGAACAAACTTAATTTTCAAAGGGATACAAATTGGGCACGCAGGCCCGTCTGACATTCGGCCCTTCTAAGCACTCATTTTTCAGAGTACCAATGCCTGTTATCAATAATGCATGTTATGGATGTAATAAAGAAATATACATTATGGAATAATGCATACTCACATCATGTGTACACAATCTTACACACTCAACACACACACACACACACACAAACACATGTATACATCCTCTTAGACTCTCATACATGCACACTCATATGTAGACATACATAATACATACATACACGCATCTACATACATACACAAACATAAAACACACACACATACATACATAGACATACATGCACACACACATTCCATACAAACACACCTACACATGCATGAATGCATACACACACACATAATCACATATACAGACACCCACAACCACACATATACACTCACATGCACCTGGTGACAAAAAGTGCCATCA